GCAGGCTGCCGTGCTGTGAAGGGGCCACACGGCGAGGGCCCAGGGGCAGCCTACGGGAGCTGACAGTCACCCTGGTCTAACAGCCAGCAAGAAAACAGGAATTTAATCTTACTGCTGCAAGACATTGAGCTCTGCCACAACCCAGTGATCTTGGAAGAGGACCCCAAGCCTCTGTGGATGAGATCACAGCCGGCTGACACCTCGAGTCCAGCCTAGTGAGACCCTGAGCAGAGGGGCCAGTCCGTGCTCTGCCTGGATTCTGACCTATAGAGACTGGGAAATAATAAATGGCTGTTGTTCTAAGCTATAGGTTTGCGGTAATTTGTTACAGAGCAACTCAAAACTAATATAATGATCCTAGTTTGAACCATACAAAAGTGCAATTTGAATAGGTTAAAAACAATTGAGTATAGGCAATTGCACACGGTTCAGCCTAATACAGATGTAAATACTTATTACATGCCCTAGCATCTAGTAAGCACTCAATAAGTGCCATTGTTAGTATTCCCCTGGCTCCACCAAACTGAGTACCTTGGCACACTGAATGGTTAAATGGACCTCTTTTTCCTAGCACTAGATTTGACATCTGCCACACTGTCCCCAGGCCTCCCCTTTCCCAGAGCCACCCTTCCCCTGCCTGTCAGAAGGAAAGGCCCAGAGCAGGTTCACACCCCTTCTGAGAGGCCCAGGGCACACCGCTCCTGAGCTGGGCTGCCTCTCAGGCCCCAGGTCAGCAAAATGCCAACCTGAACAGACAGCAGAAAACAGTATCTCTGGGGCAGAGGCGACAACTGCCCAAGGGCCCCACACCAGCAGGCGGGGAGAGAGCAGCTGCTCGCGACATTCCAGCAGGGCTAAGAGATCCGGCTGCCTCTGGACTGTCCCCTCCCCGTCTTCCCTGGGTCCCTGGGTCTCAGCAGGCCACAGTGTGGAACTGCGCATTGCTTCTCCAGCGGGGCCCCGCCCCGGTGCAAAGGTTTCCTGTCGTGCAAAAAGTGCAAATCGTTCTTTCTAACCACCATGCTGGTCCAGATCCCTGCACCAGATGACAGGTTGCATAGAGACCTGAAAAATAGCGGGGCCTTTGGGGAATGGGACACCAGACAGGTAAATTTTGACTTGGTCTGCAGGGTGGCTAACAAAGACAGGAAAGGCCTAGAAAAGACCATTGGAGTAAGGAAGAGCTTTTGGCTCAAGGGTGTAGGGTCTTTAAAGTCACATTTTCTTTTCCTTCTTTTTTTTTTTGAGACAGGGTCTTGCTCTGTTGCCCAGGCTAGAATGCAATGACACAATCACAGCTCACTACAGCCTCAAACTGTGGGCTCAAGCGATCCTCCTACCTCAGCCTCCCCAGTTGCTAGGACTACAGGCATGAGCCACCATGCACATCCAGTTTTTTAAATTTTTTGTAAAGATGGAGTATTGCTGTGTTGCCCAGGCTGGTCTCAAACTCCTGACCTCAAGTGATCCTCTCACCTCAGCCTCCCAAAGTGCTGGGATTACCAATGTGACACTGCGCCTGGCCTAAAGTCATATTTTCTACAATGCCTGCTGGTATCACCTTCCACAAACCACCTGCCATTACCCACTCCCAAAACAAGCTCTAAGAATCTCTAGATAGATCAGACCTCCAGGACCCACACAAACCCTGGGACCCAGGTACAGACACAGATCTTTATTTACTTCCAGGTGTCAAATAATCAACATTAATCACTATTTGTGGATTAATCCATTAAACCCTCATACCTGCTAAGGATTACACTTGCTTTCCAGATGAGGAAACTGAAGCACAGACAGCTTAAGTAGTTTACCGGTGGTCACAGGAACACAGCTGGGATTTGAACCCAAGGAGACAGGTGCCAGAGCTCACAGTCCTAACCACTATGTCAACAACCAAAGGCTTTCTAATCTGCAGCCCTTAGTTTACCACAATTGGTAAAAATAATTGTTTGGGAGCAGACTATAGATTAGCCCCAGATACGCTCCACCTGGAGCAGGGGCCGGAACACGCCCATCCCCCAGCGTTATGTGCCTTCAGCAGACTCGGCTGGGTCCGCACGACAGCCCTATGCTCTGGCTCAGACATGCCCCCGCATCGGGCAGCTTTGCTCAGCGCGGAGCGCCCTAGCATAGGCATGGGAAGGGGGCCTCCTGGGGCTGCAGTGGGTGGCAGGACCCCTCATAAGCAGCAGAGGAAGAAGGGAACTGGAAACTAGCATTCCTGGGAGCCAGAGGTGGCAACTCGTAATCTTCCCTGAACCAACGGCCCCTCCACCCCAGCTGTTCATCCCGAACCCCCCTAGACTTCTCAACCCCACCCAGCCCCTCTGCCTGCCCTACTGTTCCCTGCCCACCAGCAGGTGACACCTAGATGCTCAGGGCAGGGGCAGTCCACAGCCTCCTCTCCTGGGGCCCCGTCAGCACTGACCACAGGGTGCAGGAGAGAGGGACTTGACTCCTTTTAACTGGGGACCATGCAGTGAAGAATATGCCAGAGAAAGTCCTTCTGTGTACCTCTCCCTCCTCCCCATCCTCCTCCTGTTTCTGTCTCTCTCTCTGTTCTAGAACCTGAATAGTTGCACCTGGTTGCATCTAAGAGCTTGATCTACAATTTCAAGGCCACCCGGATTGTTTCCTCCCCTCCACTCTTTTCCAAGTGACTCCTCCCTCCTCATCCCTCCCCACGAAAACCCACTTCCCCACCCTCTGGCTTTCTGGAGAGCAGGAGCAGGGCCCAGAAGACCCTCCTCAGGCTGATGGGTCATGTTCCCCGCAAGGGAATGGATGCCAGGGTCGGCCCCCGAGCCACATCTCCCAGGAGCTCAGATGCATCCCAAGCTAGTTCTTATGCAAGAGGTTGGAGTCCTCTGGACACACCTCTACTTCCAGAGAGCAAGCAAGAGGGACCAAGTGCTACTGCCTTAGGGTAGTTACTTACTGAACACCTACTGTGTGCCAAGCAAGTGCAAAGTAGTGTGCTAGGGCTTCGTGCTCCTCTACCGCTGCCAGGCACTGTTCTAGGCAGTGAGCTACCTTGGCTAACAGGTTTCTCCGTGAGTACATGGTTTGTTGTTTGTACTTGACAAAGGGGAAAACCGAGGCTTCGAGCGTGCCCCAAGTGCTGAAGCAGAGGTTCCATTTCAAGAAGCCTAACTCCAAAACCACAACATCACCTGCCCCGGCTCCTCCTCTCCACTGGAGTACACGGTCCGTGGGTCTGATTCGGGGTGGGAGTCCCTGCCCCGGAATGCTCTGGGGGAGAAGGGATGAAGTCGACACACCTGAGATGTCTTAAGAGGTTTAGTCCTCAGTATATGAGTGGCCTGTGGCTCGGGCTGAGTACCCCTGGAAGGGCCCAGGGGACACAGAAAACAGTAATTTGAGCTGGGTGTCTCATGGGTGAGAGGATGCCTGGAAGTGGGGAGCATGAGGCCAGGCCTTTCAGGATGGGGGTACGGGAACTGCCAGCTGCAGGAGGAGTGAAATGTGGACGGGACGGGCTGTTCGGAGGCTTGGAGGCGGGAAGGATCCCCACGACTCTGAAGCGGCCAGGTATGGATAAAGGCTGGGAGGGGGCGCTAGGAGCAGGCTGTGCTTGCGGAAGGGAGGGAGGGCCGTGCTAGCTGCCGATGGCTGAGGAGGTGAGACTGGCGCTAATGAGCCATCAGGAATCCCCCAGCAGGGCAACACAAGATACAAATGGCGCCGGGAGATAACTCTGACAGCATGGGGGGTGGGACTGGGGGAGACACCGGGAGCTGTCACAGGAGCCCCTGGAGGGCCTGGCTGGGGGCAGCTATGCCCCACCACACCAGCCTGCACGCCCACTCGCCCACAAGTCTTCCAGAGACAGTGCCCCTGAACCCCTCCCTCTTTCACGCCCCTGCCCAGCCTCTCCGGCTCTACCTATTCCTCCCCAATGCCCCGACTTTGTAATACAGGGCTGGCTGGCAACGAGGTCACCCCGCATTCAGGGACTGACCAACAAGTGATTTGGAAGAGGATGGGGTGGGCGATGGAACAAGGGCCAGCCAGGGCTCCAGAAACGCTGTCAGTTATTTGGGGACGGGAGCATGGCATCTCCAGGAGAACCTCAAGGGGGCTATGCCTGGGCCACAGTGCCCCGCACAGTCCCAGCAAGGCAGGGATCCTAGGCCAGCCACAGCGTGAGCGCACTAGGGAACAACCCCCTTCACCACCCATACCCTCTTACTGCCTGGGACAGCCTTCCCCTCGCCTGGGACAACCTGGGGGAGACCCAGCTCCTAGGGAAGTCGCCCCCCAACCCTGTGTGACATGACTGAGGATTTGGGGGTGGTAGCCCACAAAAACACTCCTCCTCCTTCCCTGCTGGGCTCTAAAATTTCACAATCAAGGTTCTATTCCTTTGGCTTGAGATTCTGGACCCAAGTCATCCTTTTTCTTAACGGTGCCACTTCAAGTTGCTATCATTTATCCACACCTCAGTATGACTGAGTCAATCCGATCCTTTTCCAAGAGTTGATTTTGTTGTTGGAGGGGAAGGAAGGCTTTAGAATCCTGGGGTCCAGGACGGTGGGTGGGCGGGGGCGGAGAGGATGAGGATGCTGGGGCCAAGAGGGGGCGAACAGAGAGGAGGGCAGAGAGGCGGACGGGGCGAATCCTTCCCTTCCCTGGGGAGCGCTGCTCAGAGACAGCCCAGGCGGAGACCCTTGTTAGCCTTTCACCGAGTCCCTCTCCCCACTCAGGAGCCCGGACCCCTCTGCTCCTGTGTCTTCCTCCCTCCCCGAAGCAACAGCCTGGAGCGCAAACTTTCTGGGCTATGACCCCAGCCTGGCTCCCCATCCTGCCGCGGCCACCCGCAGCGGGGCAGGGGCTCCTGGCGGACAGGCAGGGGCGCGTCTGGGGGGGTAGGACACTCCGGGAAGGGGGCGCGCGGAGCCAGAGCGTCGAAGCGGCAGGGGCTGCGGGGCTGCGGGTCCAGGGGCGGGGCATGGGGACCCAGCCAGCGGGCGGCTCACCTGCAAGACACGGTGATCTCCACCTTGGTGGCCGGGATGCTGCCCGCCAAGGAGTCGAACTCACTCAGCGACGCCATGTCCTCGGGCTGCTCCATCGCCCACCGCACCCCCACCCCAAATCAGTCAATCCTGCGCGATTCACGCCTCCTCCGGAGCGACTGGAGCCCTGGGCTCTCCCCCAAGTCCAGAGCCAGGGCTGGGCGGCCAGGGGAGGAGAGAGGAGCGCGAAGAGGGGGCGTGGGAAGTGAGAGAGGCAAGGGGGCGGAGGGAGCGGGGGCCGCGGACCGAAGAGGGGGCTCGGTGACGCCGCGAAGAGCCCAGGGGCCCAGCGGGGAGGGGCCGCGAGCCCAGGGAGCTGGGGCGCAGCGGGAGAGGCGGAGAGGGGCTGGGGAGAGGGCGCCGGGAGGGACGCGCGGAGTCGCGTAGAGGGGAACAGAGAGAGGGGCGCGCGTGCGGCTGTGGGCCGGGGCAGAGGTGGGGGGCTGCAGGGGCCGGATGGGGCGCGGGCGGCGGGGGCGGCGGGGCGCGGGCAGCGCGGAGCCGGGAGCCCGGAGCGCCTGGGCTGCGCCGCCTCTCGCTGGGTCTCGGCGCGGGAGGCAGCGGGGCTGGGACGCGGCTGCAAGCGCCACCTCCTCGGCTCGAGCTCCGGCTCGGGGGCGCCCGGGCTGCGGGAAAATCAAATCTGCCCGAAGCCGCCGCCGCCCGCCACCCGGGGTGGGCCGCGAGGGGGCCGCGAGCGCCAGAGGGGACGCCCGCAGGGGCCGGGGCGGGGCCGCGGGCGGGGTCTGCGCGCTGTGAGAGCGTGTGTGAGCGTGTGTGTGTGTGTGCGTGGCGGGCACGGGGACGCGGCTCCAGATGCCGGGGCCGCGGGGGGTGACAGCGGAGAGGGACCCGCTCCCCTCCCCTCCCCTAGGGGTCTGCATACCCGGGGCGGGCGGGTTGTGTGAACCGAGGGGCGCCGGGGTCTGTGTGTGCAGGGCAAGGAGGGGCTGGGGTGGGAGGGACGTGTGCAAAAAAGCCCCCCAGGGGTTGGGGTGGGGGTCTCTGCTGAGTGTGCGCGACCCCCAACCCCGGGGGCAGCTCTCGGGCCAGGAGCAGACTGGACTTCCCTTTATTAGGAGGGAGCACCGGGGTTCGCGGTGAGGGCCTTCTGGCCCGGTAGGGTCGGTGCGCGGGCGCTTCTCCCTTGCCGCCTCCGGTTCCCGCCGGCCCGGCCTCGCCCAGTCAGGCTGACTAGAGCCTAAACCTAGAGCCAGCGCCCTTCCCCTCCCCCGCCCGTCGTGACCACACGGCTGAGCCAGCCTCCGGGTCTAGAAGCTTCTGCCACCAGACTGGGAGGGTGGCCCTAGCTCCCCGGGCTTCTGTGCAACCAGCACAGAGTAGATGCCTGCTGTGTGCTGTGTGCAGGGCTCCAGGCCCTTCCCAGGGAGCGAGGGGAGCGTTGAAGCATCTGTCAGGCAGCCCCCTCCCCACCCCAGCGCCTCACGGCCCCCACCGCGCCCCAGCCTTGCCCTCCGGGGTCATTTCCCCAGAGGCTGCGCACGCAGACTTTACACTTGTCTCCAGAAAATCCTCCCGCAGCCCCTCCTCGGCCTCAGCCTAAGCTTTGCTGAGATGGAGCCTCCACGTTTACCCCCAAGCCGCCACTTGGAAGCCGATGTGCCTTGCTCGGGAAGCCAAGAACTTGGAGCTAGGCCGGAGGAGCCGCGCCCTCTGGGCCTTGCCTGTGGCAGCCGGGCCATAAGGGTTCATCCAGATCCTGTTTGAAGCCAATTCCCAGAACATCAGATAACAGCCAGAGGCACAGACAGATACAGGCAAGAACGCAGTACTGGGCCTGGGACAATTTGCTCATGGCTCGGGATCAGCTGGATTTGGTTCTGCCACGTGGGACGGACCGGCAGAGGCTGGAATTCCCCAGGCAGCGGGGCACAGCTGGGTCAGGAGGCCCCAGTCTGCGTGCGGTTTGGCCTGAAGCCCTCCCTCCATGGAGAATAACTCTGTCTTCCTTTCCTAAGGGATGCGAAACTGGGCTTAGAATCTCTACCGTTCCCCACCACCCACATACCTGGTGTAGACAATGCTTAAAACATACTTGTGGAGTACGTTCTCCATTCATTCCATGAGTCTTCACTGAGCACCTGCTGTGTGGCTGGCACTTGGGAAATCTTGTTGATAACAATGATCACCACCGTTTTATTTTCAAAGATCTAGATGCCATGCGTAATTTTTTTTTTTTTAAGAGAGCAACTCTCCCTACATTGCCCTATTCACAGGCAGGACCATAGCTTACGACAGCCTGGTATTCCTGGCCTCAAGTGACCCCCCTGCACCCTGCCTGTAACTGGGACTACAGGTGCAGCCACTGCACCTGTCCATACTTACATTTGAGATATTATTCACATACCATAAAATTGCCATTTTAAAGTATACAATTCAGGGGTTTGTCATGTATTCACAAGGGCCATGCCTGATTTTAAATTCTCAAAATAATTATAGGAGTGGGTTGTTATCTACGTTTAATAAATAAGGAAGCTAGGGCCCAGAGAGGCTAAGTAACTTGTCCATGATTACCCAGCTGGAATTGGCAGAATGAGGACTTGAAGCCAGGCAGTTGAGAGCAAAACCTGACCCTGAGCAAGAGGCTCGATTGCCTCTTAGGATGGGGCCAGATGACAGAAAGTCATCAGTGAAATGAGGCCTTGCTGGAGAGGATAATAGGGAGCCATTGCAGGTTGTTGAGCAGGTGAGTAGTGAGATTGAAGTTCTAACCGAGTAACCTTGTAAAGTGACAGCATTTGGAGTAGCAGCCCCAGGGTCTCTTTCTTGAAAGATGTAGGGGCCTGTTTGTGTCATTCCATTCCCTCTTACTCATTGCGTTTCCATTAGCTAGATCTTTGGCTAAAAAAAAAAAATTATTTTGGGCACCTGCCCTGTGCCAGGCACTATTATAGGCTCAGAGAATAAAAAGGTGAAAGGACACAGTATGTATCCCCGGAGTTCCCAGGCCAGTGGGGCCTGTGGCGTGCGGACAGCTAACCCACAGCGCAGCAGAGGGCGTGCTGTTGAGGAAGGCATGAAGGGCCTGGGCACAGAGCAGAGTACCCGACCGTCTGCCCCAGGAGTGGGAACCAGGGAGGGTCAGGGGCAACTGCAAAAAGGAGGCAACGCTGAGATGGACGTAGGAGTTGACGTCTTAGTTTGTTTCCCTCAGAAGCAGACCCTGAGACAAAGGTTTGAGCGTGCGTAGTTCATTTGGGAGGTGTCTTAGTCTGTTCCTGCTGCTATAACAAAATATTTTAGACTGGGGTTTTCTGTAAAAGACATTTATTTCTCACAGTTCTGGAGGCTGAGAAGTCCAAGATCAAGGTGCCGGCGGGTGTGGTTCTCTGCTTCCAAGATGGCACCTTGTTGCTGCATCTTCCCGAGGGGCGAACGCTGCTGCGTCCTCACACAGCAGAAGGCAGAAGGGCAAAAGGGACCCGGCTAGTTCCTTTAAGCCCTTTTCTAAGGGCTCTCACCCGTTCCTGAGGGCGGAGCCTCCTAACGGCCCCACCTCCTAATACCATTACATCGGCAATTAAGTTTCGACAGATGAATTTTGGAGGGACACGTATGTTCGAACCAGAGGAGGAGGAGAAGACACTCTGTGGGGGGAGACCGGGAAGGGAAAGGCAGCCAGTTGTTGCCGTGGGCGACTGGGCTCACTCTCACCGAAGAACTAGCTCTGGGATGCTGTCGACCACACCTCAAACGTAGCCCGCCAGCGGGGTGAGGGAGCTGGGATGTGCTTCCACCAGCTCCTGCCAGTCCTTAGCTCAGCGGCTGAGGGCTGCTTCTGGAGGGTGCTGATTTCCGGGCACTTTTGGCCTGAGCAGCGCAGAGTGGCGGTGCGGGTCCCGGAAGCCAGAGAAAGCCTCAGGCAAAGAGACGCAGGTGCTGGCAGTTGGATGTGGGGAACTGGAGCATGCTCAGGCGAGGTGAGGCGGCCCCCGCTGCAGATGATGGACTCCTGCCTGCAGGACAAGGCAGAGCAGGCACTCCTGGCAGGGGGCTAGTATGACTAAGGGCCAGAGATCTGCGACTGGGGACCATCGTGTGGCTGGAGCACAGGGCAAGGGTTGGTGGGGGTAGAGTACGAGGCCAGGAGATGAGGGGCCGTGATGCAAGGCCACGGCCTCCTCCGGGCACAGAGGCTTTTCAGAAGGGGACACTGAAGGAGGGTGGGGTGAAAGACACCCTCCAGCTGCATGGCCATCCAGCGAGCCCCAGAACGCAGAACTTGCTGATCAGGCCCAGGGAAAAAGATGCTCCCAGACCCTGCCCAAATGAGTTGCTAATGGTTCAAACGCAGCCCATAGACATTGCCATTGGAGGGGTCATTTCTCCCTTGACAGCAATGATGGTGCTGAGTAACCATGGTCACCTGCGATGTCCAGGCAAGCCACTGGGTGAGCCAGCAGGTGCTGCGGATGCCAGCAGGTGCCTGGCGGCCAGATTAGACCCAACCCTGGCCCTGGCCCACCAAGCACATAGCTGCTGCTCCTCTCTCTGATTAAGAACTGCAAGCACGGAAAGGGCCATGCCCAGAAGGTCTGGAATAGTCAGCGTCAGCATTTTGCCTTTGCCATCCAAGACTGCAAACATGCTCTCATCTGACCTAATCCACGGTGTTAATGACGGCAGAGCAATTTCAAGAGGCAACTCACAGCATTGATAAGGAGAGGAAAAGCACCACCCGGCTTAGGAGGCAGAGCTCCTCACAGAAGAGGCAGCTGCTGTCCCTCCTCCCGTCCCTGGGCACTTCTTGAAAATGCTGCCCTCCATCTGCCCTGTCTGAGGCTGGGGATGAGAAGAGAAAGGGGCACAGAAGAACAGAAGTGGGCGTGTGCACGGGACAGGGAAGTAGGTGCTGCCCATACTGCCCCTTAGGACAAACTAGGAATAAGGCATTCTTTTTACTCTGGGTGAATGCAGTCTTGAGCCAGGCAGGGCACGTGGCTTGTTGGGCAGAGTGTGGGCTGGATTTGAGCTCCCACTTACCCCCCTGGCTGGGTGCCTTTGTGCAGTAAACACCTTGTACTACCGTACATGG